TTCATTACACCGGGCGCGAAGGGCTCACCCGGCGTAATCGGATTCGGCTCCGGAGGAATTGGGGCATAATTTTCGGAAATACCCGTGACCGCATCTGCTTTATCAGTTCGATATTTCGCAATTTAATGGATTACATAATTCATGAAGGCTTATATACCGCCATAATGTATACCGTTACGCTCTCGAGCGCCCTCTTCCTTTCAAATGTCCCCCGAAATATTAGGTCTATTTGTGCTGACTGCACTCTTGCGCTAGTTCAGAGATTGTCTTTCTTGCTCGAAATTGGAAGAAAAAAGACAACCTCTGAATTAGTGCAAGAGTGCAGTCAACACAAACAGATATATTTATTAAAAAGGGTTAGGGTTAGGTTAGGTTAGGTTAGAGCGCCCTCTTCCTTTCAAATGTCCCCCGAAATATTAGGTCTGTTTGTACTGACTGCACTCTTGCGCTAGTTCAGAGATTGTCTTTCTTGCTCGAAATTGGAAGAAAAAAGACAACCTCTGAATTAGTGCAAGAGTGCAGTCAACACAAACAGATATATTTATTAAAAAGGGTTAGGGTTAGGTTAGATACATATAATAAAAAGACAAGGATGTACATCTTATTATTTGTTAGTGCTTTTTTTTTACAAGATTTACGTGAAATTGTTAGATTCGCTGTCCATTTAGGGGCTAAGGAATTATACGGCGTGAAATAAGCGGCAGTTAGTATTATGAGAATTGCTTCTTCGATTTTGTAAAGCGCATAACTGCGGGCGGTCGCAGGAGGCGTTTGAAATCGCCGAGTCTCTCCGGGGCCAACCGCGCCATCCCACCATGAATTCATTCGCACCCTCATGAAATTCAAAGCAGTCGTTACGCTCCTGGCACAACGACAACGACGAGGCGAGAAGGACGAAGAGGACGAGATATGTATAGTGTAACGCTGCGGTTGCTTATAGACTTGTACCTCTCTCTCCGTGCGAACGCGGTATATTCAATGTTTTATTTATAATTTGTTTATCTCATCATCTGCTCGGACCTGCCGACTTGTGTATGTAACGCTGTCTACACGATGCGGCCGCGTCTATCAGCGATTCTCGAGCATTCGTCGAAACATGAATAGTCAAACATATAAATGTATATATATGCAAGTGTAAAAAAACTTCTTCGAGACATTGTTTTAAGTAAAAAATGTTTTATATATAGAGAGGGTGTATTTAAATAAGTGCGAATAATTTTAGATGATTCTTTGTCGAAAATTAAGGGGGGTTTCTTATGGAAACATATACTCTTATATTCTTTCCTGAGGAGTTACACTTTTCTAAAGAAGATAAAACGTAAATTTTCATTTTTTTTCACAAATTTTAGATAAATTTAAAAAATGAAACTTGGTGGATATTTTTCACTAATAAAAAATGGATATTTATTAATATTAAAAAAATAAAAATTTTATTTTTACCGCATAATATAAGGATATAAGAATATATATGTTTATATAAGAAATCCCTCTTAATTTTCGACAAAGAATCATCTCCTAAAATTTTTTGCACTTATACTCTGTATATATATATATATATATATTTTATAATTATGTATACATACACAATAATAAATACATTTAATATTCACATTTACAGTTAAAAAACAATAAAACATTCTAAATTAACAATTATTATTAGAAAATAACAATCTGGAAAATGTGCTCCTTGAGTTCGAATGCAAGCTTGAAATAAAACATTTTTTACTTGAATTTCTGAACAAGTTGTCAAAGCTTTTTTACACACTCGTAAATCATCTTATACATATATTTATATATTTTTTCCCTATACATGTATATCTCTATATTTTTTCTCATTTCGTTGAATCTAATTGATCATAATTATACGCGCGAAGCAAAGTTATATTATTTTTTAATGATAAAATTTTAAAAATTGCAACGCACGCGCATAAAAAATATTATTGCTTTGCATGCATAAAACTATATTAATTAATCATGCAATGTACAAAAATTTAATATTTAAATTAACAGGAGTTTTGAACCAAATAATAGAATGCTCTACAATAATTTTTCGATATAAATATCAGCACTGCGCTGCACGTTTCACGCAGGACTGACAGACTGACTCTTGATCTCGAACGCTTGGCTGTGAAGTTAGGTGACAGCGCATGCGCAGAGTCTTGCGGTCTGTGGCGGGGGTCAGTCCCGCGTGAGACGTGCAGTGTAGTGGACGTGTAAGTCGCGCGAGTTTAAAGAAAAAGAGTGTTTCGCCGGGTTTATTGTTAGTTCATTCTTGGCTGTGAAGTTAGATTTCGCGGTTAGATAACGACACCGATACATAGATACTTGCGATCAGTAGTGAGTATCGGCCCATGATGAGACATACAATATGGCGGACGCGAGTCTGTCTAGAAATGGGAGCACAGGTATGTTGATAAAAAATTCTATTGTTATGTTCGCATTTTCCATGTTGAAGATTTAAATATTAAATTTTTATGCGTTGCATAATTAATTAATATTTATGTATACGTTAAGTTACTTTATTATCAAAGAATAATATAACTTTGTTTTGCGCGTGTAATTATATTTGGTTAGATTAAACGAAATGAGAAAATATATAATACAAAGAAAAAATATGTATATTTTTTCTCGCTACAACTATCTCGCCAAAAACTTTTTCCGCAAGCGGATTATAGTCAGTCAGAATGAGGAAAATAAACTTTCGCGAGCGAGGCTTCTCGTTTCGGGAGCGACGAGAGTGCACCGGAAGTCGTAATGCACATTGGACGCGAGAAAGTGCAGGCGACGTAATATTATCGTTGAGACATAAAAGTTGCGTATCTCAAAATTGCAATATACAGTATTATTAAACACTTTGAAAAAAAAACAGGAATATTATTTCAATAATTTTTTCTCTCGTATATATTCAACAAGCAATCGACAGGTTCAAGTATTGAACGCGTGTTGTGGGATAAAAAAATCACGTGATATCCGGTTGAATTGGAAATCAGGAAAACGTTCGAAAAGACCATTCAGTTAATCCTTTGCAAAATATATATTGTACATTGACAGATGATAACGAGCCTCGCGATCCGATCGATTAAAAGGTTAATATTCAACATGTAATTATTAAATTTTCAAGAGAGATTAATTATCGAGAGAATTAATAGCCGCGCGTTTGCTTAAAAAAGGCCTAAGAGAAGGACGAAAAAATTTCGTAAGAAATGGTGCCGATAAGGCGTTAACTGTTGCATAATCAATCGCGTATCAGATACGAATGTGCTTTGTCGCCGGAAGCGTTCAAATGATACGGTCTGACATTTTCTCTCCCTTAAAGATGCCATGACGTAATGGAATTCGCGGACATTCCTTACACAGTTTCAGACTGTCAGACTTAGAATGCAGAAATCGTAAACAACTTGAGCAATGAATTTAACAATTCGAAGATGAAAAGTAATTTGCATTATCAACGCAGAGAATTTACTCCGATTCGCGTTAACTTATTAAATTAAGCATATTTTTCAAATATATTTTAACAAGTACCACAGGCCATATTGAATTTTTAAAACACTCTATTTCTATCAGTACCCTATTTTTTGTAGCGTAAAAGCGCTTCAATATTTATAAGTATATACTAGCACAACTCACACACACACACACATATATATTTACCCAAATCTCGTTTAAAAATATAATCAGAATAAATGCATTGATGCGATTCGTCGGGGAATGCAATGCCGATATTTGAATTTGCCAATTATCCGTCCCGCGGACCACGACGTACGATTTTATCGATAGATCGAAGCGCCTGCTGAATGTTGTTCGGAGTTGAATGCACTCCCGAGACCGGTGCATTCGATCTCGAAAAGTTCAGATGGATGAATAGCTACTGAGGTCGCGAAATCGCTCTCGTGTAAGCACGCGAGTCTAAGGAGGTCGAGTGCCAGCTCTCTAGACTTCCCAGCTTCTGCGACTCCTTGCGGGCTCCCCATCATCCCCCTTTTTTCTTGCCGCTTCCGGCGAGGAGGTATAAGTCGGTACGGCTCCATTCTAGCTCCGTGACCTCCTCCAAGATGCATTCCTTCTTTTCAATCTTAATAATTGAGATGTAAGATATCGTAAGTGGATCTTTTGAGGGTAGCTTCGCTTCCTTCGAAAGCGGCGCACAAAAACCGTCCGTGAAGCGGGAAACTAGGGGTTTAATTTCATTCTACAGCTCGACGGATAAATTAAATAATAAATTTCGATCGTTTTTATTTGCGTCTGTGAACAGTCGGTGAATAACTCGAAGTAGGAACTGACGTTGATTTAAACTTTCGATCAGATAAAGGCTTGTTTTTCAAACTATTTTGGTTAAAATGCGAATTTTCGTATTTATATATGTTTTGAAGTAAAGGTAAATGAAATATGGAATAAAATCGAGTTTAGTTCTAAATGCAACGTGTACATGTAATAGGACATATCTTTCTTTCTTTTTTTTTTAACGAGACACTCTTTAAATCGGCTTATCGTTAGATCTCATTCGCCGTAATTTAACTTTATTACACACGATGAAGATAAATCTCGTAAACCAAAACTTTCCATTCGTAAACTAATCTTGTCTTTATTGCGCTGTACAACTGATGATATCTAGAAGATTAGTTTATATGTAAACGCACATTGGGTAGGATATATGAGAAAACAAAGTTGTGTAACAACCAAGTGGATAATATCTTTATTAAATATTTCACAAAGTTGTCTAAAAATTTGCAATATATATTATGTTTGTTATGTATATACGTTATATATATAATATTATCTTTAATATTTGTATATATAAATTTATTAATTCGAGCAAAAATTTATTAATTGAGCAAACAGAGAGATCGATTCTATTTTTAATTTTTTTGGCAGACAAAACAATGTTGAGATATTATCTCTAATTATAATATCACATAAAGTTGTCTACAAATAATATCTGTAATATATATTATATAATATGTAGAGAGAACATTATCTATAATATATATTAAATTTATTAATTCGGATACCGGAAAGAGATCGATTTTATTCATAATTCATTAACAGACAAAAAAATTCGAACATTCTATACATTAATATTCGTCTAAATGTCATTCATACCGTAATCGGTCTTGATAAAATCAGCAGCTCTTTCGCCGATCATGTTGACTACAGCAACAGGATTTCCGGAGATCACCTAAGCGTATTAAACAAAATAATACATATTAGTTACAATTTTTCTAAACTATCGGAAGCATATTGCATATTTTATAAAATATTTGATACAAATTATTTGTCCATATGATGTTGGATCAATTTAAAAAGTAGCTATAAATTAATAAAAAAAAGAACGACATTAAGGGGATGCTGCCGTTGTTTGTTTTACCGACTTTAAGTTAGGTTAGGTACACTTTTTATTGAATATACAGATTGAAAAATCTTTCATAATGAAAGGACTGATAATAATGAATGGGGAATGCTGTCTGGCAACTAATTTTTGCTGTTTTATGCCTCGACATCGATTTTGCACGCAAATATACATACATAATTAATTCAAGTACAAATCTTTTGATACAAGCTTTTAATCTCATTTTTATTGCTTCCGTATTATTCTTTCATGTCATCTTTATTGGGAGCGGCATATTTTGTGCATAAATAAACTGCAGAACTTTTGTATTAAATAAGTATTGTCATGAGCTGATGCAAAAGGCCAATAAAGAAACTGTAATATTTTAATTTTGATTGTTTTTTATACGAAATTACAGCGCTCCTTGTTCATTAATTAATATCAGTACTTTAATTGTAGAGAAGGATCTTTCAATCTGTATAGCCAATAAAAAGAAAAGTCTTTGAACTCAAAGTCGGTAAAACAGTCATGGTCAGCATCCCCTTAATCGTTTGTAGAATCTTGAAGTTTCGCAACAATGACGGAAAAATTATTTACCTGCGGCATAATGGATGCGTCAGCTACTCTCAATCCTTTTATACCATGCACTTTTAGATATGGGCTAACAACAGCCATGGGATCCGAAGATGGACCCATTTTGCAAGTGCCTGATTGGTGATTTTCGGGCCGGGTGTTCCATTGGATTTGACAGTCCCAATATTCATATGAGTCGATTTTGTAGTTTTTGCATGCCGGGGCAGTTTCCTCTATTCTCGTCAAAAGATATTTTGTGGTCAATGGTTTTGTCTTCGATAATACTAAGATCTTCTCAATACCCTGGATAACGATCGATCTGTCGACCGGGTCCGCCAGATCGTTACCCCAGATGTTCGGATGGACCGTCGGATCTTTTGATGCAAGCGTGAGTCGGCCTGAAATTCATTTGTATGTTTAGCCATAATAAACAGAATTTCTTTAAAGAAAATCTTGCACATTTTTTAGAAAAAGAGAGAAAGATTCAATTACTTTTGCCAAAATTAAAAAAAAGAATTGTATGTAAATAATTTTGATGTAGAATTTAAAGAAAACAAGAAGAAGAAAATAATATAAAAAAGATATATTATTAATATTTTTATTATGAATTATATTATTATATATGATCATTTATTTACCTCTACTGCGCGGTTGTATATTTACGGAAGTAATTCTAACGTTCTCTTTCGTGCCGTGCTGTGTCAATTCCGGAATCCTCGTGCCCGTATCACAGACAGCTTGGTAACCAGAGAAGAAGAACTGAATGTCCGGGTCCTCTGCGGTGGTATAGTTAGACCATAGGATTCCTGTGAGTTGAGCCAAACCCGTTGACGACATCGGACCAGTTTGAGTGTTCAAATATTCATAAGCAGTTGTCATATTTAGCTCGTCTATTTTATCCGTCTTGAGACTGAAATCTATGCCGTACGACTGATGATTGTGAAGATTCTCGCCGACTCCTGGCAGATCGAGAACCGACCGAATCCCCAGATTAGTTAGCTGATTCTTCGGTCCGATGCCCGACAGAAGCAGAAGCTGAGGCGAGTTTATCGAACCGGCCGAAAGGATCACCTCCTTTCTCACGTTTGGGTTGTATGTTCTCCCATTCTGCGAATTACGGATTGCGATTACGCGTTTTTAGGGTACAATCGCGCGTACATAACATTATTCAACAAAAAAAATTAACCGAGACGAGACTAGTTAGTCTCATAGTTTTTTGAATGCTGAATACGAATCTGGTTTTCAAATTATTTCATCACGTCACAATTTTGCGAAATTTTTAATTAAAGTTGCAAAGAGGGCTTTTTTCACGAAATTTATTATAGTTACAATATATTAATTTTAGATTTTATCATTCTCACTTATAAAATAACAAATCAATATTTTTTTTGTAAATTTTAACAAATAAATCTTGTCACTAATAAAACAGAACATATTTATTGTGCAAAATTAAAAAATAGAAGTACAGTTTATTATTTTTACATATTTTTCAGTTGTTTTAATAATTTAACATTTAAGTTCAATTAACATAACAGTTATATGTTATATTAATACATAAATCTGTTAAATATTTAATACAAACGGGGACCATTTTTAACAAGAAAACACAAATATTCCTACTGCATTTCGTTCTGGTGTTCGACAAAAAGTCATTTTTCGTTGAATAGTGTAATTGAACAAAAATTGAAAAGAGAGTAACCTTACCATAGTGAAAGTGATTCCTGTAGCTTTTAAGTTCGTTCCCGAACCAGTCGTGCGAATTTTCGTCGCGGTCGCATTCAGCGCTACGAATAGATTTTTTCGATTTCTGTTCGGCCATAGAAAAGCTCTAGGAGCGCTGAGCCTGACGCCATTTTTGCTTATCGTCTGTGCGATGGCGAATCCTGTGATTTTGTCGCCTACCAAGTCGTTGGTGATTCCAAACTCTTTGGGATTATCCTTCGCCGCGGTCAGTACGTCTTCAGCGAATTGCGGCGCCCAGGGTAATCTATTAACAAAAGTGATCAGCAAGTCTAATTCGTATCTATAAATCAATTACAATGGCACTAAGGAGAAACTACACGGATAACGTCAAAAAGACACGTGATAGTTCTAAATATGCGTACGTCCGTTTAATGAACATCGGATATCGAGCACATTAATTATACGATATTAGGGATAGATGCGGCGCTAAAATATTTTGAATATTTTTACTGCCAACTAATTAAATAAATATTAGAATAGAATTAAATAATAAATGAATTACAATAATTTTATTAAGGGGATCTTAAACGCCCTTGAGAAGTCTGTTGTTTTTTCCTGTTCTATCGACAAAATGTGAGGTTAGATAAACTATAAATCTATTTATTAGCTATACGGATTGTTTTTTACCTGAAATTAGAGCTTCGCTTTTTGTTAATATTAATATTTTAATTTGTACAGGAGGGAAAAAGATTTATCAATCTGTATAGTCTCACATATCTTGATTATAGAATTATGAACGCTTAGAATTACATAATTCTGTAATCACAAGATATTTGAGACTATACAGATTGATAAATTTTTTTTCTGTGTAAATTAAAGTATTAATATTAACAAAGGGCAGAACGCTCTAATTTCAAGTAAAAAACAATTCGTATAGCTAATAAATAGATTTAAAGTTTATCTAACCTCACATTTTATCGATAAAACAGGAAAAACAACAGACTTCTAAAGGGCGTTTAGGATCCCCTTTATTATTTTTTTTAATAAGATGGAACAGTTCATACCTTTCAACCGTCATCGGACCTCCAGTCACGTGATAATCTGGTGATACCAATGTTCCAATCTGTTCATTATTTTCCGACTTCCAAAAGTATGGCAGCACCTGATAAACAAAAGTGTTTATTATAATAATTTTTTGCGCGATACTGATCTGCGATCGACGATAATTTCTTAATCACCTGATCCCACGACCAGTTTAGATTTCCCTTATGGACCCATTTGGTATAATCCATCTTGTGGCCGCGATGATACGCCATGCCGTGATGGGAAGTGCATCCGCCGAGATTTTTACCCCTTGGCCAGCTACAGCTACCACCGTTGTTCAAACAAGCGTGCGTTTCATTCTGGGTTTTATATTTCCAATCCAAATCCGTGTCTGCAATCGCGAGTACGATCGAAATTAATTGGCGCGAATGGTTATTTTTTTAATTAAAAAAAAAGATGCGTTACTCAAATAGAGTAGAAGATTGCTCGGTATTTGTGTGCCAGCTGGTTCATCCGGTCCGGCTTCCACGAGAAGTACCTTCCAGTTGCTTATCTCGCTCAACCTAGAAGCCACGACTGGGCCAGCTGCGCCTCCTAAAATAAAAACAAAAGACAATCGGGATGATTGATCAACACTCACTTGCCGAATTGCTTTTCCTTTTTACAAATAAAAATTAACTTGGCTCGTTCGTTTTCAATTTGTCGTGATATACAAACTAAGGATAAATCTCTAGAACGTAAATTAATAAATTTACGTTTAAATATATATAATATAGCGAAAATGTCTTGATTAATAATAATCAAGATAAGCCAACGCGTTGTGATTATGATTATCATTGATTATCTTACCTCCGACGACAATAAAGTCGAAAAGGCCATTCAAGTGACCCGACTTCGTTTCAGGCGTGATACGTTCACAACAACCATTAATGACATCACTATAAGTAGCTAACGTGGTCAGCAGACTCAGCAATAAGTTTCCGGAACTTGCGGAGCAGACATCCGTCAACGTGAGTCCGCTTGCGAAGGGTGACGAACATGGTACACTCGGTATCGGATAATTATTTAGCTCAGATGCCGCATAGGCAACGTCCGGAGCTAATGGCGAACTCTATAATATCAGAACACATTTAATTTCTCCATCAATTAAGAGAATTTCAGTTGCATTTGTTGGCTAAAGTGTTCTAAGAATAATTCAACATGTTAATAAAAATGAATAATTTTTTCTCGCTTAAATATATAATTTATAATTTATAATAAAAATAAAAATTATAATTTATAAGTTATAATAAATATAAATTATAAATTATAATATTTATAAGTCTATTTAAAAAATTGTACTCTATCTTGATTGCTATATTTTAAAACAATTTTAGTTGTGTGCGATGAAGTAAAATATTTTTTCGACACACTGTTATTATATTATCCTGAAATTTTCGAGAAAATTCAGAGATATCGATTTTATGTCGCGATGTTCCGATATTTCTGATATTTTTTTCTCTCTTTTTTGTTTACACGAAACACGGTATATATCTGCAAGATTTCAACATACCATTTTATGCGATTATCTTCAAACGACTTGTAAGCAGAACTGTTGTCTGCTCGACTTTTACTCCCCGATTGTTACACTCTTTTTGGCGTCGCTTTGTTATATACTCATTTGTGTTATGCATATGCAGGTTCCGCGAAATATCTAGTGATTAACTTCAACATAAAAAACGATAATAGCGACGCTTGTTAACCCGCGCTTGTCACACGTGTAAATTGCCGCATGTGTATCACTGTGGGAAATTGATGAATAGTCAGTGAAATAGCGCAAATAAAATAGATAGCTGTGCTGTCGCGATAACTGCGTTATTCTTTACTTTATTTGCATTTTGAAAGTTGAATGAAGTTTGTGTGTATGATTTGCAGACGTTAGTTTATTGATGTTTTGTTGCTTATCAGACTGTTTTTAGTTGAATTTTTTTTTACACAAATATATGTAAATATTAGTTTTTACTTCCTTTTGACTTTAGATATTGTATCATTTGTCACATTACATATGTAATTAATAACAACGTTGTCAGGAGCGCGTATCATCGGAAACGGATGTGCAAGTCATATTCCACGTTTGATATCTGCTATTAATGAAATCTTGTTTATTTACAGTTATTTTGATTTACACTCGAGCACTCTACGAGCTGGCGAGCTATCCATATTCGTAATCCATTTTAGTTTCTCCAATATATTTCTTTTTTAACAATATTAACTATTATATTTTTTTTTGGCCTGCGATACGCCAGGATTTGTCTTTGGTTATTATTTCAAATAGGAGATATATACGAATCGTATGTATTATATAGTATGTCACAAAGCTATTAAGAGATACTAAAACATACGTTAAGCTAAAGGAAGATTATTAATATAACGAGAGCTAAAAGAAATAATTAATATAATAATTTTTTCATATAACTCTTAAACAGATGTATATAATTAACCAATAGGAAAATTATAAGGAATATAATAATAACAATATTCGTAAATTGTACGGAGATCTGTACGTCTCTGTCGCGACTATTTCAACATGGATTGTCGGGAGCCGCGACATTTTACGAGACACACAATCTTAGGAAATCTTAGGAAATTACTAATTGGAAACTGAAACACATGGCGATACAGCGAGACCTGTCTTGAATTGACTTTCTGTCTTACTCTCTATCTCTTAACAACAATAATTACACGTTGCGATGTAATTTCGAATCTTACGGAGAGTCCTTGGTTCTCGACCTTCTTAGGCGCTGCAGAAAATGGCTCATAAGAGACTAGATAGATCGTGGACGCCCATGGTTACCATATAGCCTGATCCCAGTCGATAAACTTGATCCCCCAAAGCAATAGGTCCAGTGAACTTTCGATGGTCGTGCGGGCACTATGGAAATACGGTAAATTGCTGATGACTAATGAGTCTTCGAATGGCTGTAATGGCTCTGTTTCGGGATAGGAGATGCTCTCCCGTACCATTGTGTACCGTGACGGCCCCAGTCGGACTTGATGTACGCGGCCGCCTTTTCGCCAATCATCATGGCCGGTGCTGCCGTGTTGCTGGACGTTACCTTGAAAGGCAATTCCAACATATTTTCACCCCTTTGTTCTCACGCGCGTCAGAATACGGAGAGAAATCTCAACCGATCTCTCGAGTTCTATGTACATGGTGTCTGACATAAGGTGTCACACCGAAAATATATAAGTAGATCTTGTTATTAGGAGACAATTTTTCCTCAGCAAAATTATTGAGGCATCAATAATTTTCGAATTATAAGCGATTGAAAATAAGGGGTTTTTCGCGAACTAAGGCTTGTGAAAATAAATTATTAACAAAACCACATTCTCCAATAAATTTTATAACTTATGGTTTAGTTATAAAGAGATGTATGGCAAAAATTAGGAACATGCAAAAAATGATGGCATTCTTCAACATTTTTGCTGAGGAAAAATCGTCTCCAAATATATCAGACACCTTGTATATAAAGACTTGAGATATCGAGGATTAAAATAAAATTAGAGAAAGCAGCGACAGACGTGGATTGAAACATGATCTTAAGTATAGAAAGTGCCAATCTTGATGAAAACCATAGATGGATTTTGAAGAAATAGTTATACGAATCGTAATCGAGAATAATATTTACCTGCGGCATAATGGACGTGTCGGCCACGCGGAGATTTCTTATGCCGTAAACCCTCAAGTGATTATCGACCACGGCCATAGGATCGGACGCCGGTCCCATCTTGCAGGAGCCCGCCTGATGATTCTCCGGACCGGTATTCTGGTGCACCGCGCATGCCCAATAGTCTTTGCTCAGGAACTGATATCCGGAACACGCGGATAACGGTTTGTTGTTCAATGTCATGTTGTACTTGGCCATGGCACTAGTGTTGGCGAGAGATAACGCAACTTGGATACCCTCCACAAGGATCTCCACGTCCATCGGATCGCTCAAATAATTTCCCCACATGTTCGGCTTCGCGAGAGGATCGTTGCTCGCGAGACGAAGACGTCCTGAGAAGCAAGTTCGTCATGTTTGGGACGAAGAGGATCGAGATACATCGAAAGATCGACGAAAACAAATTTATGGCAATTGTCATCTAATGGTCTACAATAAGTCGGATGTCGGAACGTAAGCGATGGTCCAATGAGGAAATTTTGTTTTCCAAAAAGAAATTTTCTCAAGCCTGGTCTACAATAAGTCGTATGTCGCAGTCGGATGTCGGAAAGTAATCGATGATCCAATGAGAAAATTTCTTTTTCGATAACAAAATTTCCTCATTGGACCATCGCTTACGTTCCGACGTCCGATTGTGACATACGACGTAATGTAGAACGGGCCTTAGGTCTGGGCTACAATGGGTTTGTTCTTTATTGCTGCACTGGTGAACTAGTGTACATTGGTGCAGTAAGTTAGAGTGAAACAAAATATATTTATCTCACTTTAACTTGTTGCACTAATTCACCAGTGCAGCAATAAAGAACAAACCCAATAAGTCATATGTCGCAGTCGGATGTCGGAACGTAAGCGATTGTCCAATGAGGAAATTTTGTTTTCGAAAAGAGAATTTTCTCATTGGACCGCTTACGTTCCGACATCCGACTGCGACATACGACTTATCGTAAACCAGGCCTAATATTACTGTGGACGGGGATCTGGCTCATAGTTGGATTAATTTAAATTGTTTACCCTTGCTACGCGGTTGCGTCATCGTCGGCGACATGCGGATGCTGCGACCGTTGTTGTCTATGAGGGCGCCGACTTCTCCAGTTTGTGAGCAGGCCGCGTGATAACCGCTGAAGAACATTTGGATGTCGGGATGATCCGGAGTCGTGTAAATTGACGGCAGCATCGCGGTCAATTGCGACAAACCCGTCGACGACATCGGTCCCTTTTGATAGGCGATATATTCCGTGGCAGCCGCCCAATTCAGATCGTACACATTCGGCTGATTGATGGTCCACGATAAAGTGTACGACACGTGATTATGCAGATTCTCCCCGACACCTGGAAGCAAAACACAGAGTTCGCCTCTCAATTAATTCGTCGATTTCGCTCAAAACGTCGACGCCTTCCCTTAAATTACACTAGTTTGAAAAAGTTAGGAAAGAAAATATTTTTAAAAACCTTTCCTCAATGGTAAAAGTCGATCAAACTTGAGGAAAGATTTTTATTAATTATTACTGGCGAACCTTAAGGATTATTATCTGAAAATATTTTTATTTAATTCTTTATATACAGAATAAAAAATCCTTTACTAGAATTAAAGTATTCATAATAACAAATCTGGGCTACTGTATAGCCAATAAATAGTTCAAAAATAAAATAATATAATTACAATAATATAATTAAAAATAATATAATTAAAAATAAAAATTGGCAAACGATCAATGAATGAATATCGTCTCACCTGGAAGATTCTTGACGACCGTGACGTTCATCGCTTGCAGATGATCACTCGGCCCGATTCCGGAGAGCAGCAACAGTTGAGGCGAATTTACGGCACCACCGGAGACGATTACCTCCTTTGTGGCGCGGGCAACTCGAAGTTCACCGTCCTGAAGATGCGTTCATTGAAACTCACGTCGCCAAACTCACTCGAGCTTGATTTCGCGCTCTTAAACGCCGGGAAAAAGCAAAGTTCCGCGATATGCGCGACATATATTGTTGACTCGTTGTTCTCGCTCTTGTTTATATTTTCGCGAAATCGATACTCCGATGAAAATGCTAAATCAAATGCAGCCGCGCGACAGCGGCTGAATTTTATCACGCGATCTCGGAGATTTAAGCGAGATCGATTATAGCAAATCAATTTGATTTGCGCGTGCGAGGAAAAAGAATGTGTTGTTAGGAAATCTTTATGATATCCATGAAAGTGACTCGATTTACATCTCCGCACGTGGCGATTTATTATTGCTTTGAAGAACGGGATAAAAAATTGCGCTTTTTTAATATCCATGAAAGTGTCTTTCTGTTCGTGTGACTTTGTATGCATGGCTACTCTACAGAATTATTTTTTTTTTAATACAGATAAAACAATAATGTAGCAAAAGATCCTTGGGGCATTTCCACTCGTGCATAATGCAAGGTTTTTTACGTATGACGTGTACGTTTTCAACGTATTAATAGAATTTGTAGCGAGTTTCTCGATCAGAAAAAACCTCCCGTTTGCGCGACCAATGAAATTTCCGATAATATATCCAATGCAAATTTATTCGTCATGCACACGACACCGGACAAATATATTCACAAATAATATTATTGCAATAATATAATAATTCGAAGGTTTCTAATATTTCTGGCACGCGTGTCCCGATTTGCCCAGTCGCGTACATTATATATTTTGCCTCTTTAAAATAATAATTAATAAACAGATATAGATATTTGCACGCAGCTGTTGATGTACAGGATGCAACAAAAATGTGGGTCTTATTTCAAGAGCGTAGTCCAAATAAAAAAAATTGTATAAATATATGTCCAAAAAATACGTCGTTATGTCATGTTTAGATTGAAACTGAACATAATTAGCGTATTATTTTATTTCCAATAAAGCAGTAGAAAATAATGTTTATATGTCAAAATAATTAATTCCTAAATAAAATGGAGCAATTAAATTTTTCAAAAATCCTCTCCTATGTCATCCTGACAGGACCATTAAAAAATCCTTTTTGGATGCATATTTATATAAACTTTTTTGCTACATAATAAATGCTCTTTTGAAGTACCTAGCTCCCAACATTTTGGTACACCCTGTGCAAATCGTCATCGAAAGCGAAGAGATGAGATTTAGGTGTGTCTATACTAACTTGATAGAACTGGACGCCGACGGCCTTGTGATTCTCGATGATGATCTTCGTGGCGGTAGCGTTTAGGGCGATTTGTAAATTGCGTCGGTGCCGAAACGGTCGCAGAAATGCCGCGGCGCTACTCACACGAACCCCATTCTTGCTGTTGGTTTGCGCCACAGAGAATCCCGTAATTTGGTGGCCGTTCAGGTCCTCGCTAATCGGATATCCTCTTTCGGACGCCGCCGCGAGGATGTCGTCCGTGATTGCAGGTTTCCACGGAAACCGTTCAACCGTTAACAAACCACCGGTCGAATGATATTTCCGACCCACCCGATGGATCTCCGTGTTGTTTTCGGAGCACTTGAAATACGGCAGCACCTAACAAACAAAAATCGGGTATTCTCTTCTTGATAGACATCTCAAAAAATTGAAAACTCAGTAAGGGCGTCCGCAGAGGGACTAAATAATATTAGACTATAATTGGGACATATGGTAATATTTTTTATACTACAAGTTTGCAATTTATAGCTCTTCTAATTTCACATCTTTTTATCATACGATATTGCGAATCTTGGGATGGATAAAGACATAAAATTCTTTTATTTAAATGAAATGCTCGAAACGTGTACGTAATTCGAGGCAAGTCGATGGAATCTTACGTCGTGCCAACTCCAGCCGGCATTTCCCATGGCCGCCCAATTGTCAAAATCCTTCGCGTTACCCCGTTTGTACATCATGCCGTTGTGGACAGATGTTCCGCCTAGATTTTTGCCGCGTGGCCAACTGCAGGATCCGCCGCTTGACAGACAAGCGTTCATCTCGTTCGTGGTTTTATACTGCCAGTCAATGTTAGTTCCTATCGGTAAAATTGTCAGATCGTTTACAATGCGTAAAGCTTGTTGCAATATATATATATATATATATATATATATATATATATATATATATTGCAATAATATAGATTCCAGATGAACACTGCAACCATTTTTCATTTCTTTCTACCTTTTGAATCCGGGAAAAATTTTTTATATATAATTATATATAAATAATTGTATAATTATACATATACTCGTAAAATTATATGTGAAATAAATTTATATAATTACATATGAAAAGCACTCTTTTTTATCTAATTATGTACATATGGACATATTTTATATATAGTTTTGCGATTATATGTATAGTTTTATATATTTCTATATAATTTTATATTGTTATATATAAAATTTTTTTCCCGGGAAAATGCTCTAAATGTAGTTTAAGTAAACATGACTTTGCGTTTATTTCGAAGATCTGCGGGCATCTCAGATGTCGCGTTAATTTTTAATTTTTATAGATTCATAGCCAATTTTATCTTAAGTCGTTTGAAAAGTGAACTTAACTTAAATCTAAAGTGGTCGCGCTTAAATGTGACGTTAGGGATGACATCTGTCATCCATTTCAAAAAGACGAATTAAGATATAAAGCATATTATTTATTTAAATGCATGTATTGAACTTAAATTTATATCAAGTAAAATTTTAAATTTATGCACGTAAATGTGCGCGATCACTCTAGGATTAGAATTATAAGGAAAGTAATAGTTGTTAAATTTTAATCAACTCTCAAAATCTTTCCAAATATATTATATAAGTTTCATATAGGCTAATGAATCATAAAATATTTCGTAGTTCTTATTGTATTTTAAGATTGACCTTATTATTATCTTCACTTTTCTGAAGAACATTTTATTAATAATAAAAACTCTAGATGAAAGTCTATTCAAAATTAATCATGAACCATATAAGTTCTAAAAATATTATTTTGATATTTATAAACATAATTTAAAATAATTATAAAGAGTTCAGACACAAATCAATTGAAAGTTAATCAAGTATAACGAAAGACTCCGAAAATATTTCCTCGGATAAAATATCGCACCATGTCTCTGATATCCAGGGTCTAGCGATTAGGGAAATCTGGAAAACCGAGCATTGTTAGGGAATTTTATAAATCTGGAATTATCAGGGAAAAGTCAGGAAATTTGACTATTTATCTGAATTTTTTCACATTATTCTACATTTGTCTCAATAATTTGCAATTTTTTATTAAATAAATATAAACTTTCCCTTGACTCCCAGCACGCTAATTTTCTGTGTTGTTAAAAATCGATTCATCTATTTTATTTCAATGTGTTTAATAATTTATAATGTGTTAAATAATTTATAGTGACACTTTTTTAACTTCCTTTCATTGTTGACAAAACTTCTCAAGGATGATTTATCATATAGATACATATATGCAAATTATATATTTGGCAAAAATACTGAAAAGTCAGAAAAGAAAAATTAATTATTTCTATAGTCTTGGAAACTCTGAAAGAGTCGGGAAATTTTTCGAGTCAGCTGGATCTTGGATATCGACGCGATAAGAAAATCGATTTTCAGAGTAAAAAAAAAAAAAAGGCGACATATACTCGATGCATTTTAAACGCTCATTATCGTCAGGCGAGGTCTGACTTCCCCTGGTGTAGATAACGGGAACACAGAGGCTCTCGCTGTGTGTACACACAGGAAGGTTCAATTGAAACTTACCCAGAAACATTGCCACCATACTGGGAACCTCGGCACCCGGTGGCTCGTCCGGGCCGGCTTCTAGCAACAAAACTTTCCATTCGGGTATGTCGCTCAGTCTAGACGCCACCACGGCACCGGCTGATCCTCCTAATTCCGAAGCGACAAAAGTCATTAAAGTCCTATCGTTATTCAGCGCAAACTGTTGTTACTCTGAGAAAAATGTATCCGCGCGTTGGGGGGATGATAGGGGGTTGAAAATAAAGGGTGGTCGTGGAAGAAACGGGAGTGTTGTTAATTGCATTCGCCGGAAGGAAAACATCTGCGCGACCCTAATTAACTTTTTCAGCGATTAGATTCATCATCGGGCCGATAAATCGCCCGTGTTTCGCGAACTACCTTCGCTCTCTCTATCTCCATCTCTCTCTTTCTCTCTCGTTGCCCCTTTCTCTGCGGTATATTAATGATAGGTGAATTCGATTAATGATAGGCGCGCGGAAAGCCAGGAAGAGAGTTCCGCGCGTCCGATAAGAGGTTGAAAAGTCACTAGTCGACCAGGTAATTACCCGGCTGATGTACAGCCTCAGATTGTCATGTTAATTAACTGTCCCCGGATGTACGCAATTTGGCGGCCGTCGCTCGTTGTTTATTACGATCCCATCGATATTGTTATTGCAGGAAGTGCCTGTCGCATTGGAAAAGATAGTTCGGGCCATGGCAATGATTTGCCTACGTAATTTCTACCTTTCACACGTGCAGAACGCATTTTTCCCCGAGCTAGAGACGTTGATGAAAATTACTTCTCTCTCTCGTGTTTAATTGCATCTGTTCTTTTCGAGAAATGAATTTTTTGAGAAATCCTTAAATCGCGCGTAATAATACGATGATTTATGAGGAGTTCTGCGCACTTGGAGACACACTTAATATTTCATTTCAATATTTTTAAAACGTCTCCATTCTATTTTCAGTTCCTTATCGTGTCATATTGTATTTTTAGTCTATTTTTCATTAGACGTTGCGAGTCGGTTTATTTACCTATCTTCGGCCGAAACGTCACATTGAAATGAATGTTTCGACCCTTCAGATAACGCATTTTATCGTCATGTTTTTGCAATTCCGTGTCAAGTAGGTAATTAAATTGCTAATTCAGGGTCTTTACAAACACAAGGAAACGGACACTCCTCTGTAAAAGATAGAGAGAGAGAGAAAGAAAAATTGCCGAGATTTGCGAATTTGTCACCGAGTATGACGTTTCGTTCGAAATGGTCACGCAATCGATCATATAACAGAGACATTGTACTATATAGATACTATAAAATATATAAACGCAAGAGAGAGCTCGTATGATGCGTACAACGTTATTTCGCATGAAAATTTATTAACAACATCGAAATGATAAATCATTTCTCACATATATCGACAATGTACGTGCGCGGAGAGTGACGGTTCGTATGTATTTTTATTCCATTTTTTTTAAATGCCTGATTAATTGGACAACAGAGATTAACTCGACGAGAGACCGTGAGATACATGCATGACGTGCATGAATAAATATGTACATACAATATATATATATACACATCCCGCGGGGTCCGTCCGTCTGTCGCTTACATCGAAATCGCGTTAATCGAATTTTACTTTTGCCGCAGATATTACGGATTTACACACAGGCCCAGGGATATTCTAATCGAGAAATTCAATTAGCATTTCCACGTGTGTGTGCATCAAATCACGTTACGGCAACTGTCACTTGCGTTATACGATTTGCTCTCTCTCTCTCTGTCTATATATATATATATATATATATACATATATTTTGTCGATATCGCGCATAATTACGCCCCATGTAATCCATGAAGTTCGCGTGTCCTGACATGCCGAATACGAGAGACACGCGGTTTTCCTTCCCCGAGAAACATTAAAGGGATTCTAAATGAATGCTGCTGCTCTGTTTTATCGACCGAGCGATTATTTCATTTCAGATAGATTATTCTTTTTATTGACAGTTTGTACATACAAAGTGAGATCAGGACGGATTTGGATGAAGAAATATAAGTGAATGTTTAGATATCAATGTGGAAGTCTAGTAAACGAGAATAACTTATCTTCGTGTGCACACATATGCACGAAAATGTAAGATGAGTTAATCTCGTTTACTAGGCTTTCAAATTGACATCTAAACATTCACTTATATTCCTTTATCCAATGCCAAATCTGTCCTGGTCTTATTTTGTATGTACAAACTGCAAATAACCTATCTAAAAAGAATAACCTACTTAAAAAGAAATAATCGCTTAGTCAATAAAATAGATCCGTTTAGGATTCCCTTAAGGGATGCACGAAAATGTAGGATTAGCTATTCTCGTTTAGGCTTTCAAATTGACATTTAAACATTCACTTATATTCTTTTATCCAATGCCAAATCTGTCCTGGTTTTATTTTGTATGTACAAACTGCAAATAACCTATCTAAAAAGAATAACCTACTTAAAAAGAAATAATCGCTTGGTCGATAAAATAGATCCGTTTAGGATTCCCTTAAGGGATGCACGAAAATGTAGGATTAGCTATTCTCGTTTACTAGGCTTCCAAATTGATATCTAAATTCACTTATAGTGCTTTATCCCATGCCAAGTCCGGCTTGATTTAATTTCAGGTAAAAAACAGTCCGTATAGCCAATAAATAGATTTATAGTTTATCTAACCTCACATTTTGTCGATAAAACAGAAAAAAACAACAGACTTCTCGAGCACGTTTAGGATCCCCTTAATGCTTTCCGTCTTCGCAAATAAAATATATACATGTTACACGGCTCAATTCTTTAAGCGAACGACATCGAGTCGCTCTCGTAAAACTTGGACTTTTTACACCGTCGCGCGGAGCTATTTTTTCCCGACAAAATATACACGAGTTTACAAATAAATATTTTTTTTATTAGTTGGAACAGACAAAGTGTGTCTTATATAGATTTTTGGGTGCGGAAACGATGTCACACAAGTCAATTTTCATCAGCACGTTAGCTTTCCGAAATAATTGAGATTTAATATGCAACGAATGACTTTTTATGTTTCAGTTTTTTTTGGGGTAAAAAAAGGTTAATGGTATATTGAAATTCTATAATTAAAAGTTATGAACGTATTGTTCATCCCTCATAAAATGCGTTGTTTTTAAAAATAATACAATATGATGAATAATAGAAAAATGCATCATGACATCTGATCAGTCGGATCACGTTAACTTTTTTATAAAAAATATCTCAAATATCGTAAAAAAGATTTTTTTAATACATTGAAACTTCAATTGTTTTGGAAATCTGATGTGCTGAAATTTTATTTGTATCGTTTTCAGCACTCAAAAATCTACAAAAATAGTTTATCTGGTTTAAAATAATTTCAATAAATTAGAATTGTCTGGACATAAAACGGACTCGCCGAAAAGCGAGAATGAGAATTTTGTTTCGCAAACAAGAAATCTTCGTTTTATTTAGACGGTGGCGTATTTTTTTTTGTTTTTTTTTTTTACGACAGAAAAAAAACTGTAATAATTTCATAAATGGAGGTCAGAACGTTCCGCGTCCGCGGAAGTCAATCTGCATTTCGAGCATAAATATCCGGGATTTGCTGCGCGCGCGTCGGTTACATACTATATTTGCATGACCCCGAAATTGCAACGATGTAACGAACCTTTCCGGTTGCACGTAATGGTATACCTGATAACAAGCGTTATCGAACAGGAAAAAGTAGTGTTTCCCTGGAAGGCAAATGCGCTCTCATAACTTGTCCATATGATGTATCGCGTATTATATATCAAAGTTTTATATAACATATAAAGAGCGCGCGCGCGCGTGTGTGTGTGTGTGTGTGTGTGTGTAATATTTTATATAAAAAAAAAACAAGAAAATTGCCTTCCGGTCTTTTTAATTTTATATTTTTGTTCCGTGAAAATGTTGAAAGCTTCAATTCGAGATGTTAATTATTTTTTCGCGTTATACTATATATTTAGCTTTTATATACTTTCTCTTTTTTTCATTTGATTTTAATATTTCTTTTTATGCGTCCAGATTTTTCGTGAATTATGAAACATATACCAGAGGTGGTTTTGATACATAATCAATAAGATTATTTCCGCGAGTAAAATTCAAGAGACTCTTCTCTCCTTATATCCATGAATTTTATACATTTATATAACGCGAGATGGATAAATATTTATTCAAGCACGCCGTTCGAGAAACTGCAGATGTGCGTTTAAATAATCTCGGGGATGAAACCTATGAATTTATCGACTGCACGATTGTCTTGCGCGAGTAAAACATTCTCTTTCTTCCTCCTTCGCTCGCAACATTTCGCGGCACGTCGAAGAGACGCTACACGATTTGTAGAAAAACGGGTTAACGCTCTCCTTCTTCCATAAATAGAGATGAAAATGACGAAGAATAAAAAAGAGGGAAAAAAGAATCTCACGGAAGGAAGAAAAACCGGCGCCAGATTCGTCTCTCTTTCTCGGTAATTAGTTGTCCGGTCAAACTTGACGTTGCGGAAGAAGAAGCCAGGGTAGAGCTCTCTCGCGTCTCTAAAGAATTTTCATTTATTGACGCCAAGTCTCGGAACAAACCAGGAAGAATTTCATCCGCGCTAAATCAGCTTAACGATGTCTATAATTAGCTCCTTTATGAGAACTAATTTGAATTCAGCAATTAATAGGGAAATTGCATTCGGTTCCGGACGTAGCGTTGCTACGTACGCACTTATTATAACTCCGAGTAAGCGAAATAGGAATAGAAATTTATCTCGATATTCCATTGTTTTCGAGGATATAATTGTTCACGTATGGGAGACAATTAGGCAAATTATTAACTGAGCAAACTGTACCGTTAGATGGGTATTTAGAGATAATTGCAGGAAGACGAAAGACGAATTTTTCAGACTCGCGAACAGCTAATTTACGCAAATATCTCCAAATTCTTAATTTCTCTCCTAGAAAATTTCTTAATTAAAAATTTTATGTATTATTCAAATTCAATTTGATTTTCAACATTGTCGAAATGATCAAATAATTCAAATAAACAAAATAATAGATAATTATTATTAACAATAATATATAAAAATGATTAAAATAATTATATGAACAATTAAGTAGGTATATAATGAGCAAATTAATAAGAAGCGATTAAATTGATCAAAATAATTGAAACGCGTGCAACAGTCTCGTTTGAACGATAAACATTCCCCTTAATATCAAAATTCTTAATTTCTCTTTTAGAAAATTTCTTATTTAAAAATTTTTTATGTATTTTTCGATCAATTTGGTCAAAATAATCAAATAAATAAAATGAAGAAAATAATGATCAAAATAATTACATGAACAAATATAACGATCCAACTAATAAGAAGCGATCAAATTGATGAAAATAAACAGCTAATTTACGCAAATATCTGTATATCAAAATTCTTAAAATTGCTCTCCTAGAAAATATTTTAATTAAAAATTTTATGTATTATTTGATCAATTTGGTCAAAATAATCAAACAAATAAAATGGACAAAATAATAGGAAATTATTAAAATAATTACATGACCAATTATAACGATCAAACTAATAAGAACCGATGAAATTGATGAAAATAATCGAAAGAGTGCCTGAAAAATGGTGCCGATCGTTATCGGAGAACCCTGTATATACACGATCGAACACGAAGAGGAAGGGAAACATTTATTTAAGGAAGATATGTTGTGTAACGAGCGTGCAAAAATCTCGTTCGAACGGTAAACATTCCCCTCATTGCGCGCCGAAATTGTTCTCCGTTTCTTACGTTCTCTCTCGACAAGAGAAGAACCGCTTTCGGTGCAGCAGCGCGGAAAATGAACTACGTCCGATCGCGATCGCGTTCTTTCTCGCGAGCGTTCACGATTTTGCCCTTTACCTCTCTCTCTTTCTCGCAAAAAGAAAAATCGGTAAAGTGGCCGCGAGATACGATATATCTCCTACTCTCCCTTTCCGCGTGATTTTCCGCGTGACACGTACGCGCTCAAAACGTGGAGAACGTTGAATGAAAAAAAAAAAAAAAAATTCTCCCGCGAGATGGTATCTTATTGTTAGCTATTTCGGTTGCGTGCACAGTAATTTCCTCTCCGTTTGTCGCGTGAAAAATATATATATATATATATATACACACACATACCATATGTGCCACGAGGCAACGATACAGGGCTCAGCACACGTTGACAGGTCCCTTTATGACGAGCGCATTCGTGGGAGAGAGATGCTGAAGATATATAAGTGGAAATATGACGTTTGAGGGAGATAACGTTCTAGCTTTGTGTGACGTTAGTCGAAACACTAGCTGGAAATTTTAATAGAGTCCACTGATAACGACATATGAAAAGAGCAAGAGAGAGAGAGAGAGAGCTCGTCAGGATTATGGCATGAATTCTCTTCTTTGGACACTGACTTTTATTAATCTGCGAAGGCTAGGAAACACGGTGCACCTATGGAAGTTGCAAGTCAAAACGCGGATGCTGCTACTGAAATGTTTATAACGCTGTTTTCTGCAGTTAATTGACATTTTGTAATTAGACGTCTTTAGGAAAATTTAGATGAATATTAGACACTGCGCTGTGTGTTGTGTACAATTTTTTTCGATTTTACGTTGATTCGTGTTTGATCAATTTTTAATTTTCTTTTTTTTTTTTTTTTGAAAGAATTATGGATTGACGATTTATTATTTTTTTAATGAAAAAAATTAGAAATTAACTAATCAATAATAAAGTGTGTTTCTGTCTAACATTATACAATCTATGGTTTTTAATAAACAATTTTTTAACATCCTAAACAATCTATAATAGCTCGTTAAGTTGGTCTATTATTCATTAGTTGATTTTAAATTTACACGACTCTAATTTATTTATTTTTTAATTAAATAAAAGAATCAAAATTGTATTTATTATTTGTTTTTATATTTATGTAGTTACGTATCACAATTTTTATCCTATTTTATTTACTCCTCCCTAAAAGAAATTAGTTTGAATAATTGATTTCTGTTGTGTTTTTTTTATAATACTTTTCGTGTTTATACGTTTATGTATTTTATACTCTAATCTAATCATGAATATCGCATATGTATAATTTCCCAGACGATTCAAATAATAGACTAATTAATTATTAAATGATTATAACTGTAATCAAATAAGTCTGAAATATTCTACGTTATTGATCTGAAAATAATAAAATTAACTTTGTGTATTTATACATATGTACCTCCATTTACAGAAATATGATATTTCCTAAATTACCGATAATGTGTTATTATTTTTCGCGCGCAATTTTTATATTTATTTAGTTTCATAATTTCTATTCCATTTTATTTACTCCACCGAAAGAGAATTCAGTTCGAATAATTGATTTTTATTGTATTTTTAAAAAATATTTTTCGTGTCTACATTTATTTTATACTCTATTGTAATTTTATATCGTACATAATTCATCCCCAGACGACCCAAATAATAGATATCGCGACTAATTAATTACCAAATGATTACCAACTATAGTCAAACGGATCCGAAATAGTCTACGTTATTGATCCGAAAACAATAAAAACAAATTATTTATATATCTCTTTGTATTTATAGACGTATTTTTCTCCACTTCTTGTAATGATATTTCCTAAATTGCCGATAATGTGTTATTATATTTCGCGCGCGATGACAAAAACGGGACAAAGTGGGACATTCATCGAATAATTCCGATATCGAGTGGTTGCAAGCAAAAAGCGTGCTATGGAAAAACGCGATGACGAGGAGGAAAGAGGGAGAACACGTCTAATTTATGTGTCGCAATGCGAACGTTTCTCGGTTTATTTCTCCGGCGGAAGGGTTCAGGGGGTGAAAACTAGGGAGAAAAAAAGAGAAGGATATACTTGGCTTCTCTTCTCCCGATAAAAAATTTTTGATATATAATATATATAAATAATTAAATAATTATACATATAATCGTAAAATTATGTCTATTTTCGTACATAATTATATAAATTATAAGGGTTCATATATAATCATGTCAAATTATATATATTTGTATGTATGAAGAAATACTTTATATAAATCGATATAATTATATATAAAAAGCACTTTTATCTAATTATGTATGGACATATTTCATATATAATTTTGCGATTAAGTGTATAATTTTATGTTTCTATGTAATTTAAAATTGTTATATATAAAAAATTTTTTCCTGGGTTCTGGGTCTCTGAATCCGCGATAATCGGTAAACACGATAATTCCAGCGTGTTCCGGCTGGTTTTTCCTCCTTTTAAGAGTCACGGTTTCCTCCCCACTCTCTTTCCTCCCCTCTTTTTTCTTCTGTCATACTTCTTCCGTGACTGCACTTGAACGGAACCGCCAGGTGAAAACTGTTTTGTCCTCCCTCCTTCTTCTGACAACAAAAACAATGCTCTTACGTAAGCATTGTGGTTGTATATAAATGCACCTGATGCAAGGGAAACAGGACACTTGTATCCATAGTAGGAGAATTTGTGTTTTCTTGTTAAAAACGGCCCACGTTAAAATTTTTGTGTTAAACATTTAACACATTCATGTGTTAATTTAACATATTGCTGTTGTGTTAATTCAATTTAAATTTTTAAAACTGAAAAAAGATGTAAAAATAATATAATGTGCATCTATTTTTAATTTTACACAATAAGTAAATATGTTCTGTTTTATTAGTGACAAGATTTATTTGTTAAAATTTACAAAAAAGTTTTGATTTTTTATTTTATAATAGTGGGAATGATAAAAGCTAAAATTAACATATTTTTAATTAATTTTTACATTAAAACTATGTTAATTTTACACAAAATTTATTTTAAATTACTAGAAGTTTTGTGTTAAAATTAATATATAACATATGCATATTATGTTAAATTTAACACAAATTTTTTAATTTTGTACGGATGACAAGACGATCCGCGGAGCGTTAACAGCTGTCATCTTTTTTTCTTTTTCTCTTTTTCTTTGCGATTTTTCCCCGAAAATTGATTTCCGATCGAAAGGATCGGAAGAAAATAATAGTGGGGATGATAAAGGTAACAAAAATTAACATATTTTTAATTAATTTTACATTAAAACTATGTTAATTTTACACAAAATTAATTTTAAATTACTAGAAGTTTTGTGTTAAAATTAATATATAACATATGCATATTATGTTAAATTTAACACAAATTTTTTAACTTTGTACGAATGACAAGACGATCCGCGGAGCGTTGACAGCTGTCATCTTTTTCTCTCTTTCTCTTTTTCTTTGCGATTTTTCCCCGAAAATTGATTTCCGATCGAAAGGATCGGAAGAAAATAATAGTGAGGATGATAAAAGCTAAAAAAAATTAACATATTTTTAATTAATTTTTACATTAAAACTATGTTAATTTTACACAAAATTAATTTTAAATTACTAGAAGTTTTGTGTTAAAATTAATATATAACATATGCATATTATGTTAAATTTAACACAAATTTTTGAACTTTGTACGGATGACAAGACGATTCGCGGAGCGTTGACAGCTGTCATCTTTTTCTCTCTTTCTCTTTTTCTTTGCTATTTTTCCCCGACAATTGATTTCCGATCGACAGGATCGGAAAAAAACCGCGGATAATGTCCACCGTTCCACAAAGGTCTGCAGAAGAAACAGCTCGACGTTATTCTTCTTTCTCGGTTTGTTTCGCTTATATTCCCGATTCGTATCTTTTACTCTTCTCTCTCGCCGGTTTACTTATCGTTAAGACCGCATTACGCCGCAAACCGTAACGCGGGCTTGTCGGTCAAGGATCCCGTGATTTATCGTCGCCGCGAAGAAAGTATACTCGCTGCTTCATGTATATACATATACTACTGCTGCACCACTTTCTACTAATTTTCGCGAGTACCTGCACCCGACTTATAATGCGTTCTCCGGCAATTTTTTTACTCCAGATGTGGAATCTCTTTCACTCTTTTAGCTCTCCGCTTTTAAATTTGATTAATAAATTTATCTCTTTATATTAGGGTTGTTCAGAAAATAATATTCACATATTTTTTTTCAGAAACTATTTATATTCTACAGGTTTGAAATTTATTAAAATTTAATAAAATAATATATATAAAATAATATATAAAAAAATAATATATAAAAAATATATATATTATACATATTTTATGTATAAATAATTTTTAAATAAATATTTTATACATATATATGTATATATATTATATATTTTTTATATATAGATTATTTACATATATATATTAAATATAAGTAAAAAATATATTTTATTTTAATATTTCTTTCTCGTGCCGCGAAAAACAATCGTCGACGTTAGTATGTGTGTTTGATCGACGATTAGAAATAATTGCTGGATGGTAAAATAAGAAATAATTTATAAGAGAATCGGAATCTCTCTTTGGCTTTTTTAGCTCGCTGCTTTTAAATTTGACTAATAAATATCTTTATTTATATTAGGGTTGTTCAGAAAATAATATTCCACATTTTTTTCAGAAACTATTTATATTCGACAGATTTGATGATTATTAAAATTTAATAAAATAATATATATATATATATATATAGAGAAAACATTTATATTTTGTGTGGAAAAATTTCAAACTTGTTGAATAAATAATTTCCGAAAAAAAAAAAAATTATTTTCCGAATTCTAATATATTTTATTTAAATATATTTCTCTCGTGTCGCGAAAAACAATTGTCGACGTTAATATGTGTATTTGATCGACGATTAGAAATAATTGATGCATGGTAAAATAAGAAATAATTTATAAGAGAATAGGAAATGAGCCGCGCGTGAGAGACAGGTTTGTAATTTGTATTCGTCTAGGAAACTAGGAAACACAAGTCCCGCTTATAACGCGCGTTAATGAGCGGAACGTAATTATATATATCGCGGCGTACTTAAGTATTATTTATAAGGCGTGAATAAATGATGCGAATCCACAGACCGGCGCGATAATAGCATTATTTATAACACATCCGCGCGTTATCCGTCGATCGCGCATGTGGAATATTTAACAGGGAGAAAGGGGGGTGGAAAATTTATATTGGACTTCATATTTAATCGGACTTATAAATTTGCGAATTGGAGATCTAATCTCCTTAGCAATCGAATATTTCGTAGATACGTATATACGAAAATATTGCAATATATATTTTTTTCTCTGTTTCAGGTAAGTCGATGATCTCTCTTTATATTAGAGACAAATCAGCATTTCTGTCTGCGTGTATGGATTTTTCGCAAAGATATCTGTCAGTAAGTAATTTAATTAATTAGCATAGTTATATGTTTAAAAAAATTTTCAAGAAATAACAATTGAATCTTGATGAGGTAAGAATAACTGTTATATAATTTAGCTGAATATCTAGACATAACTCGGCGCCTCGAGAATTCCGAAAAATCGCATATACAATATCGCGGATAATGCAAATAACTCGGAGAATTATTATCTCGGTTACATCATTTACAATTCCTCTTGAATATTCGGACGCGAGTTATTGGACGCCTGCATCCGGAAAGACGCGAATATACGCAGCAGCGTGGTGGATATTAAAATGGTGAATATATTTTATATTCAAGATCCGATATCTAATTATTAAAATGAAGCGAAGAGCGCGAAGAGGAAAGCCCGGTTCCCTCTCTCTCTTCCTTTGCATTCGGTTTCGAATGGCTGGAAGCGATCTATATACATATATATATATATATATATATATATATATATTTTTCAGATAATATTTAGCACGTCGCAGATGCAGAATGATGCGCGTTTATTCCGCTCAACTGCCATTTTATTTTCTAGCCGTGTGCAGGCAGCCGTGTTTGATCGGCGAAAAATGCCAGGGGGGTGGAAAGGGTGGAAGAGAAGTCGCTCTCCCTTCATCCAAGGGTGGATCAGGGAGGAGAAAAACACGGGCTGCCTGTTATTGCCGTGAAAAATTGCGAACTTGGGAGAAGAGGGGGACGTTTGTAGAGACATCCAGAGGGAGGAGGATGGAATCTCTCTCGCAGAGATATACAGAGCCTATATACGTATTTATTACGCCACGTGTTACGCGATGCACGCGCGTATCATGAATATATCACTAGTGGATCGCGTTAGAATTTTTTGCGTGTATGTATGTGAGAATAAACAATTCACGAGGATTTTTTGCGAGCCCCCCGTTCGAATTAATACGTCTCATAGGCGTCCGCAGGATTTTTTCCAGAAGGAGGCATGATTAAAACCTGTTTTGATTTTTTAGAATTTAATTATTTGTTATTTTCATTTTTTTCAATATTAAATATGCTAGTTTTTTTACTGATTCCAAAAGGGGGGCCCCCTCTTGTCCCCCTTTACTCATGGCTTGTCTCTTCTCGTTTACCGTTCATCACTAGCGGATTATTGCTTTAGAATTTTCGCGTATATGTATGTGAGAATAAACAATTCACGAGGATTTTTTGCGAGCCCCCCCTTTCGAATTAATACGTCTCATAGGCGTCCGCAGGATTTTTTCCAGAAGGAGGCATGATTAAAACCTGTTTTGATTTTTTAGAATTTAATTATTTGTTATTTTCATTTTTTTCAATATTAAATATGCTAATTTTTTTACTGATTCCAAAAGGGGGGCCCCCTCTTGTCCCCCTTTACTCATGGCTCGTCTCTTCTCGTTTACCGTTCATCACTAGCGGATTATTGCTTTAGAATTTTCGCGTGTATGTATGTGAGAATAAACAATTCACGAGGATTTTTTGCGAGCCCCCCTTTCGAATTAATACGTCTCATAGGCGTCCGCAGGATTTTTTCCAGAAGGAGGCATGATTAAAACCTGTTTTGATTTTTTAGAATTTAATTATTTGTTACTTTCATTTTTTTGCAATATTAAATATGCTAATTTTTTACTAATTCCAAAGGGGGGGCCCCCTTTGTCCCCCTTTACTCATGGCTCGTCTCTTCTCGTTTACTGTTCATCACTAGCGGATTATTGCTTTAGAATTTTCGCGTGTATGTATGTGAGAATAAACAATTCACGAGGATTTTTTGCGAGCCCCCCCGCCCCCTCGAATTAATACGTTTCATGGACGTCCGCAGGATTTTTTTTAAAAGGGGTATGATTAAAACTTTTACAAACTTTTTAGAACTTAATTATTTGTTATTTAGTTATAATTAGTTATTTGTTATAAAGGGGGGCCCCCTTTTGCCCCCCTCTGTCCATGGCTCGTCTCTTCTCGTTTACCGATTTCTCGATCCACGTCTTTCGATTTCTCGATCCCCAACGAATATTTTTTATCAGTACCCCCTTCCTCTTGCATATCCTTCTCCCCGTGCCAAGTATAACGAGTCCACGAAATATAGAAATAAAAAATGCGTCTGCGCGTTCGCGTCGTCCGGTACGAATTATCCCGAAATGCAAAGAGCGTATAAAATTCGTTGAGCCGTTTAAATCACATTATGCGCCGTCCACGGCATCGCTATGCAATCGCGCGAACGATCCATCCTTCTCTCTTTTTCGTCCCCCCCCCCTTTCTCCCCCCTCGGCCCCCCTCGACAAATTTTGCCACCTTCGAGGATTTATATCTCCCGACGGCTGGGACAGAAGGGTATGGAAATAATGGAACGTAGCGTCGCCGGTGTAATGACACGTCGAAAGAGGGTGAAATGAGGGGGAGGGGGGGGGGCGAAGGGGGGATGGAGGGGGACGGACCGGTAATTAAATTAATGACGCAATAATCACGCGCTTCGCGACCGAATAAATAACGGGTCTGTATTAATATCGCGCATCTCTGAAACGAGAAGAGGGTTGGGGGGGGGGGGGGCGAAAGGGGGGATATATGCGCGTATAGGTACGATGATGCGCGTCGAATCGCATTTCGCGTCCCCCTGTAAACGACAAATAACAATTGCCACCGACGATTCCCCGTGATAACTGTGTTTGCACGTGGTAAACACGCCGTTATACGAGAGAAGGTTCGCAGTGTTTTTCCCTCGGAGGTGCAAAATTCGTAGGGCGGTGGATACGTCGAGCATCCCCCATCCTTCTTCCACCCCCCAACCCCCCCGGAATTGTTGAGCCCCCCTTGGACACGCGCGGCGCCTCGCGCGTTTAAACCGCGCTATTTTTAATTATTTTTTAATTGGAGTTTTAATAGCTCGTTAAATTTTCGCGAAAATGGTGTATTTATCGTTTACAGGGGGCACCGATTTCCGCGCGCGCGCGGAAATATTTCTCTCTCTCTTTCATTAATTCATTATTCCCCGGGTTATGTAGTTTGTAGTGAGTGTGTAAAATGTGTTGCGCGCGAAATGCGTTTTTCTATACACAGTGATTATTTCATTTTATTAATGTTATGTGGAATACATTTATTCATACACTCTTCTTCATCCGGGACTCTCCTATTACATTTTTCATCGGACAGAGAGAAATGCGCGTAATAATAATATTCTTCTCCCGCCCCCCCCCTTCATTTTCGTTTTACAAAATGTTGAATAAACGGTGCGTGAAAAACGTTTGTTTTTCATCCGTGGAATTTCCCGAATTTAGATATCTCCTGCTCGTAATAAAACTATATTTACGTGCCCGCATAAATATTATCGTAATTGTTATTCGATCCATTCCGCGTTCTGTTCTTTTTTCCGTCGGTATTTCGTATTTTGTTCTGATCTTATTAATTTTTATATCCTTCTCGGAAGGATAAGAGGATGATTAGTTTTCTTGTTAAAAACGGTTCCCGTTAAAATTTTTGTGTGAAATATTTAATACATTCATGTGTTAATTTAACATATTGCTGTTCTATTAATTGAACTTAAATATTAAATTATTAAAACAACTAAAAAAATGTAAAAATAACACAATGCGCATCTATTTTTAACAATCTATTTTACACAATAAATATGTTCTGCTTTATTAGTGACAAAATTTATTTGATAAAATTTACAAAAAAATGTTGATTTTTTATTTTATAATAGTGGGGATGATAAAATCTAAAATTAACATATTTTTAGTTAATTTTTATATTAAAAGTATGTTAATTTTACCTATTTTTATTTTAATTATTTGAAGTTTTGCAATTATTTAAAGTACACAATATTTAACACAATAATAATTGTGTCTCCATTTAATATATCCATATTATGTTAAAGCAACACAAAAATTTCTGTGAGTTGTTTGGCACATGTGACATCTGTTAAATTTAACAGAAATTTTTTACAACCCCCTCTTTTGTTTTGATTATCTCGTGCATATAATTTCGTATTTTTAGAAGATGCCGTGACACAAAGCCTCTGCAATTATTTCAATTACCCTTACATGTTGATATATTTGTAGGGCGACTTGATTTGCTTTATCGCGACGTTTTTTCCTCTCTCGGGCCCTAATGACAATAGTATATTGTGTATCAAGTGCGGAAAGTTGACAATTGGTCACGAGTGAACAATTGTCAATTCGCACGTGATACACATACTATTTTGTATTACAAGTGCAGGCAAAGTGGTTTTGTGCGCGAGGTGGCCGATCGCACGCCGTCATCTTGCGACGGCACGGTGCGGGAATAGCCGCGTGTGGGCAATGTACATTGCCCACGGCTTCAGCCGTGAACAATAACTTTGAACGCGGCTCAGCCGTAGGCAATGGCTTTGAATGCGGCTTTCGCACAGAAAACACGCACACAAAGTGCCACTTTGCCTGCACGTGTAATACAAAATCCATTTTCTTGCCCGTTTCCAGTCGATCCTCCAGTCCGATCCTTTTATCGTCGTCGACTTGTGCCGTCTCTCTTCGAGCATTATGCTATTATAATTATTCCGCCAACTTCTTTCTACCGACCGGATATTCATTGACGGAATAATTAATAAGCATCACGTTAATTACTCAGCGCGCGACCCGGGGTATTATTAATATTTTCTCATCACCTCCGCGAGGTAATACACCCCGGCCGCACCCGACGTGACGATTAATCATTTCGCACACGGGTGTACGTTTCCATACACACACACACATATATATACACATTTTATTTCTGTGTCCGCGTCTCCCTGTATTAGGCACAGCGTGCGTTTTGTTCGAAAGAAGAGAAAGAAACTGTACCTGTATATACAGGTATCCCTATATAGTGTCGCATCTCTAATTAACAACAGTGATCATAATAATACCTTGAGAAACGAGACTTTCTCTCGTTATATCTCTACAGCTCTGTTTTTTCCGCAACCGATATATTTTATATTATATAAAAATATGTTATATTATATGTATATATATATTCTATAATATATATTGTATAATATATATATATATAATATATTTCTATAATATATATTGTGTATATATTATACAATATATTTCTATAATATATATTGTGTATATATTATATTATACAATATATAAAAATATATATTAATACATATATTAATATAAAAAAAGGAATATATATTTTTTCTTACACGTAGACAGAATATTGTGGAAAAGCGATCGATATCGCGAACGTAGCACCACGATAGCGGACCGTTCGAAAGTCACTGAAAAATTCCATCTTGCCGCAAGAATATCCCGGGTGTCCTATACCCGGGAATAATCACCCGAAAGGGAGGCAAAAAAAATTAGTTTCGATCGCTCGATCCCGCGAAATTCTCGCGTATCGTCTCTGCCCTTCTATGCGATTGAGCGAATTTCGGGGTTCCGAATTTACGCGACCCGAGTTTTTATCAAGCGCGCACTAAAATATTCAATTATGTGCTCCCCCTTTTTCCCCTTTCTCTTCCTTTACGAGGAGAGACTCGGTTTTGCCGTCGACCGAATGTAAATGTCGAAAGTCGCGACGAATATTTCGGCTGTATATTTTCGGGAAAGTTACATACTATTAATCTCTGGTAACAGAGTTTTATATATTGTTCTCTTATAAAGCTCTCTGACGTGAGTTTAAAATCTTTTTTTATATGGAAAATTAATCGAATGAATAACTATAATTACAAATTACAATTTTATTGTATAGAATGTCCTAAAATTACCATATATTGTGTCCTTTTAACAATAGACTTTCTGTCTAATTTAAAGTCGACTTTCTCCTCGGAAAATGTCAAGGGAGACGATAATTTTTTGCAAGTTTCCAATTTTTTCCATTATATATTTTTGTAATTAAGTCTCAAATTAAAATTCTATTAAAGTAAACTCCACTGAAATTGACTGAAGAATGTAGTTTCGTTAACCTTTCAACTCTACAAAGTTTAGCTTACAAAAAACTCTTTTTTCATTTTTTTTGCTTATATCTAGATATTTTCGCTAAGGAAAAATCGTTCTCAAATTGACCAGAGAGTCTGCTACTAAAAGAGCATCAGGTAATTTTGGGAAATTCTGTACCGTGATGTGATTAATTTGACGCGGTCTCTCTACCTTTTTTCGATAAATTACATATATTCCTAGTAAATGTTTTATTAAGAATATACAGCAATGTAATATATATATGAGTACAAATATCGCATGTCGATCGAACTATTTCGTGATAGTACGCGATTAAATTGGTTTATATTGAAGTTCTATTCGGTATATTGAGAGCGACGTAACTAGAACGAATAACTATTTTATTCATCATTGTTCCCGAGTTATTAATACTCTATTATATTTGATTACTCGCCCCGTGCGGTATTTTCTCTTCTCGATTCGTTTCCCGTTTTTACAATTTTTTTTCTTTTATTGTCTAGTCTGGAAAATGGGTTACATGAACGGCATTTCGCCACACAGTCATTGCTATCATTGCGTAGGTTCACGCATTACATTTTATTATTTCCACTTGTGTAATAACGATACTTACGATGGCTTCCGTCCGAAATTAATTTTTTTCGTTCAAATTAATTTTTTGTAGCAAAATCGACGGCTTATATATCGCTCGCAAAATCGCGTATGACTAACAATTCACGATTGTCAAACCGATATATTCGTTGTTTACACATATTTACACGCGATAACACGTCCGCTCGTTACTCTAATAAGGCTAATGCGATTATTATCGTATATACGCTCAAATCGACACTCAAATCGCTTACTCGATCACTCGAGATACGCGAGCCGGCTCATAAGGATACATTCCAATTACGTCGATCAATTTCACCCATTCATTAGAAAATCACCGACCGTTACTTTCTGCAACTCTTCCTCTCGGTGTATACTATAGTAAGTGTCCATTAGACTCTTATCTTTAATTAAATGTTATCCGGACGATGGTTCCTGCCTCAGTTTTACGAGAAACATATTTCCAAACGATAGTTTTATCAAAGAATCACGCATCTTGTGCATTATTTCGATATATATATATATATATATATATATTGTAAAATTATTAATAAGCAATTTTTTATTTAATTTTATAAAAATGGATGAATGCAATTTTAGAAAGTGGAAAAGGGAAAAGTGTTTGAGTTAGGAAATTTTAGGAAATTTTTTACAACTGGTTTTCATCGCGCGAGACTTAGCTTTGATAGAGCGTAAACATAGAAAAATGTCACATGTCTAATACCAGATTCTTGAATTAGTACATTTTATAATTTACATTCCAGTCGCTCTGCGCTGAGAAACAAGTTATATTCATGGTAAAAAATAAAATTATTCAGATAACCGTTTTCAATTAGACAATTTTAAGATTGCTGCGAAATGTAATATCTTTTTCGTTAGACGAGCAAAATTTGGTGAACATTTTGAATTAACGAAACAATATCATTTGGTTACTCACGTTTTACAATATATAAAATTAAACCGCAATCTATCTCGTATTTAAACAATTATGAGAATTATATAAAATTTTTTATCATCTTAAGATCTATTATCTTCAAGAAAAAATTTTTTTAACATTATATACCCGTTTTGTTTTGTTAACAAAATATTCTGTTTCTCACTGTGAAGGAAGTTTGTACATTCTACAAAACAGTTTTGTATTATTATGTGAATTAAATTAACAAATTTATATCGACGTGGTAACCAACGGTTTAACTGGTCACATACCAACAATTAGTTTCTGCATCAGTAATAAAATTTTGTTTATTAATAGAAAACATTTTTCTCAGCGAATAGGATAAAAAGAATGAAATAAAACCTTAAAAGGATCTTAAGCTAACCTAAGTTTTACTCCTGTTTTATCGACAAAATGTGAGGTTAGATTCAGCTATAATCTATTTATTAGCTATACGGATTGTTTTTTACCCGAACTTAGAACGCTTCGCCCTTTGTTAATATTAATACTTTAATTTGTACAGGAAAAAGACTTTTATTAATCTGTATAGTCTCATATATCTTGATTACAGAAGTATGAATTCAGATTGATAAGTCGTTTTCCTGCATTAATGCTGCTAAATTAAAGTATTAATATTAACAAAGAGCGAAGCGTTCTAATTTCGGGTAAAAAACAATCCGTATAGCCAATAAATAGATTTATAGTTTATCTAGCCTCACATTTTGTCGATAAAACAGGACGGAAATCACAGACTTCTCGAGAACGTTGAGGATCACCTTAAATCTATTTACTCACCGCCCACAACGATGAAGTCGTAATAGTGTGCGGGTGGATCCACCGGTCTTATACGCTCGCACGATTGAGATATAATATCTTGAGACCGTACAAACGCATCTATGAGCGTCATAAAGGTTAAGTACTGCGATCCTCCGCAGAGCGTGCTAAGGCTCGGGCCCAGATAGGGTCCCGGGCAACTCGGCCCCACCGATATGTTGTACGACGCCATTGTTCTGTGAACACGCGAAATGCGATTATACAATAATTTAATCGTTATTATTGCTTCACAATAGAAGGCCTATATAAAATGGCGCGTTTTCTCTCTCGCGTGTCTCCTCATGCGTGCTCGTTGTAAGAGAGATAGATAGATTGTCAACGCTATTGTTGTGCACCAGCTGATCGCTCTTGCGCGTGTGTACGTGTGACGGAGTACCTGACTCTATTTGCTCTCTAAACGTTTATTGTCCGTGGTTTATCGTCGGTTTATCCGTCGGTCGTTAAAGGAGACGAGAGCTTAACGATCGTAAATTGATTGGGATATATTTGGTAAATTTTAGCGGGGAGATTCGAGAGCGCGCGCAATAACGCAACGTTGACGTTTTGGAGCGTCACGATTTTACGTGTTGCACGAAAACGCGCGCAATTCCATTCGGCTATCGAGTAAAATCATATTTAATGGCGTTCCCTCTCGCCGCTTCGGTATTCGCGTTTCGTGCGAGTCTCTCCGTTTATTTTTTCTATTTTTTTTTACCAGCGGTTAATGCCCGTATCTCCAACGCCGACTAATCGAAGTCAGGGACGTATCGAAATTATCTCGACTTTCCCGCGCTTTATAGGTATTTCGCAGGATTACTTTACTTGTTATTTTTAATCCTCTGAATTCGATATATCGAGTTCGAGAGACGCGCGAATACAAATCTTTCGCGTTTCGCTGTATTCCACTTCCGACGCCTGTACTTTGACAGATGACGCGACGCGAACTGTCAAAAGTTTCCCTCTCGGCGACATTTCGCGGTAGCGCCGCGGCGTCTCGCCATAAATAAATATTCAGCGCGGCTAGAATTAGCGGGATATGAGTTAATAGCATATTGTAATTAACCGAGCGTATTAATTAATTCATCCCTAATTAACGTGGTTACCTTTCTGTGTCTACCATTACTAATGCGCGCACGCAATTTAGCGCCCGGAGGAACAAAGTACGAGCTACAAAGAGTCGGCTCGCGAGCGAGCAAAGTGCAATGATTATCACACAATCAATTTACATAATTCCTCCTTCGTGGCGCTTCTGTACCGAAAATCGCTCGTTATTATCTCCCCTTTTCCGCCCGGGTAGGGATATCTCGGGAATCGCGCGCTGACGTTAATTAACGCGCGCTAATTTCGAAACATCGGTATCCCTCGAGTCACGTGAATCACGCAAATGACACAAGAAACGAACCAACGAACGAGAGATTGCGCGTTTTATTATATATATATATATATATATATATATATATACTATATAAAATATATATCGACCATATATATAATATACGCGCATCAAACTTGCGTTAAACGTATACTGCAATACGGCCGATACGATTTATTGCAACGAGCTGTAACGCGAGATTGTGTAAAAAAAAATAGAAAAGTAGAAAAGCATAGCGGGTGAGTTCCCGCGCAGAAAAATGAATAAAAAAATCGATAAACTCTCTTTGAAACTTCTTTCGTATAAATCGATATTTCATTTCCAATCGGAAACGGAAGATATCAAATAATACTTATATTCGCTCGTATATTGTTAACAACAAGAAACTCATTTAAAGACCAACGTAACGAGCACTTATTAAGGTAATATAAAATAAACGATTTATTCAATCTATATTACAAACAAACGTTTCGATTGCACGCAGCCTTCTTCAGTAAAAAATTTAATTCAAATCAATATAACATATCTTAAAGTTAATAGTCTTTCGTTAACATAAATCGGGAATTGAAACAAATATAATATATATCTCGCTGAACTTGTGCATATTATACAACTTATGATGCGACAACATTTAAGATGTTGGAAAGATTCCGTATAATTTCTTCATTTCTATGTGAGAAATCGTTGTTATCAACCCTACTATGATTAATAAATAAATTAATTAATTAATACTGTGTCCAAGTTAAAATAGTAATAAAAATTACACGCTTACTTATAATATATGTTGTTCTTCACTGAAAGTCACGTATGACAAGACCTCTCATTTCCAACTTATTTATTTTATATCATCTTAATAAGTGCTTGTTACGGTCTTTAAATAAGTTTCTTGGAAACGGAAGAGTTCGAATGATAACCGCACAATTTTGCATGTCACAATGTAAAAGGATATACTGTATTATAAAAAATATTAACTATTATAATTAAATTTGTTCTTATATATTTTACATCTAAAATTTAGTTTTCATGTTTAAATTTTAACTTTGATAATTAATATTTTTAAATGATGATTTATCTCTGTTAAATTATAATTATGATAGGCAACGGGATTTATGGAAAAATTTCTTTGAGATTTAATTGAAATTCATTCAGATTTCTCAAAAAATGTAGTAAATAAAGATTCAGATAAAAAGTGCGTTTTCAACTAAAAGAAGAAATGCGTTTCTAAACAAGAAACCAAAGTAAGGCATTTCGTTTGCTTTTTCTAATGTTTCTTGAAAATTCCTTTCTAATTTTGCATTGAAAATGACTATTAAACAGGATAATTAAAATTCTCTGCTTCAATAGAACTTTACAGTGACCCAATTAACGTTGATTGATCTTTAAATTTTGTTGATGCTCTTGATTAATCAAATGGAGCCAAGAAATCAGTTAAATATTCTGAAATTCTTCACAGAGATAGAATCAGATTTAAAAATGATAAAAATATGTAAAGATATATTAAATACGTGTTATTTTATTATACAACCGCGCTTCGCCGACTCTGTATCAACTTTGAAGCGGAAATTTAAATACAAGAAAATCAATACGCAATATACAGTGATAAATGAATCAAAGAAATTCATACGCTTTAATTTTTTATTCCATCGAGAGAATTCACTAGCTATAGTAAAAACGTAAAAACGACGGATTTCTCATTCGACAAAAGTAATACCAGCTTTTTTCCTTCAATTTAATCCGTCAAAGAAAAACAGATTTAAATTTTGCCGCGCTAATATTTATAGCTAATATTTTTTTCTCCGCCGGTAACGCGATTTATCGGGAGTTAAGAGATTTTGCGACTTCGTATATATTTTACGTGAAATAATAATAAATATATCAACGTTGTGTGTTACCGTTGACGTAACTGAATCAGCACGGCTCTCTCGTCGTGACGGATTTCTTATCGATGTTGCACTCCGATACGGATATACGTTGCAGCGCGTGACCCGGCTTCGCACGTGTAGCCGCGAAGCAGCAAAACGGGCAAAGTATAACTGTAAGACCTCTCACCGTAGAACGCCACTTTATAATTCATCTCCCACTCTGCTGGGCTCCTCCGGCTTCTCTATTCCCCGGCGTCGTAGGCGTCCACCATGGACAGATCATTGCCGATGAATCCGAACGATCGTAAAGTCCTGTCGTCGCTAATCATCGCGCGGAGATGAAAAAATCCGCCGCGTAATCTTTATTATTCGAAACGCGGATGCTGCGAATGAGTGGATTTCGGTTTTTCCATTCGGGTTTTTCCGATATCGCGATGGCCTTCAAAATTAAGAAGCAGAAACACGAGGACAATTTAATAAAGAATACAATTAGATATTTAAAGACAAGGCTCGTGTAATATTATAAAATTAAGATTTAGAAAGACAGGGCCAACTATAACGAGCATATTAAATTAGTGAGAGATGTAATGTCAACACATAATTACTTTATTACTTAGTAAATACAATGAGGACAATTAATACACTGTCAAAAGAGGCCGCAGAAGAAAATAATATTTTCAGTATATATAATAATAATAATAATAATAATTAATAAGAAAATAAAATAATAATAATAATAATAATAAATATAATAATAATAATAATTAATAATTAGAATATAATTGAATTTTTTTATGTGCAATTTTATATTAAATTGCAACGTTCATTCAAAGGGAGGGAGCACATTTTTTTTATTGATTCAAAAGAAGAGCAAATGCCCCAATATGCAATACATATAATAAATAATTCTTATTTTCTAGAAATATTGAAAGAATTGAGATTTCTCTCAATTTTAAAGATTTTTCGTTTTCTTCGGAAAATATCGCGATTATCGCTCGCGGAATTAACATTATTTTCATATTAAAAGTAAATGGGATATTTTTTGCGGGGATTTTAAGGATTTTTGATATCGCGAGTATTCTCTGGCGGAGAAAATGGATCTGCGAAATAAAAGCTTTTCGCGCGCGCGAAAATTTCTGCACTTATTAAAAGTTCGCGCGCGATAAGAAATAGTCGAGTGTAATCGACGAGTCGGAATAAGAATGATAATGATGCGTAAAAAATTTATGCAATTTGACGCAAAGGTTATCTCTGCTACGCTCGTACAAGTAAGTCATTTCTCGTTCGATTAAACAAGAGTCGTTTTATCTGTCGATCGATAATATATACGTTCATCAGCCAGTTTAGCTATCTCGATGCGACACTCGGTGAATTTAGCGGAACAATTCGATCTTCGTATCGCAGGATTATTAACGCATTGATACAGACTCGTTTGCTGGGAAATACTCGCTCGTCGTAAAATATAATATGTTCATCGTCCCGCAATTGCCCGAATATTACGACGTAATGACGGATATATGCGAGAGCGAGGATAAAGGCGTCTGTCGATCTAACGCGAAATCGATGTTGCTAGCTAATATCATAGTATAGACATTAATAGTAGCGACACTCCGTATTTATTTTGTCTGATTTTCATTGCGCATGTCATAACCGAAACATATGTACAGTGACATAATCTATTCAGACGCATATGTTTTGTATTGTGACAAGTTAGGTGATGAGTTGAGCACACGTGAACCCATTAACTTTTTATAAAGATGTATTATATAACAAATAAAATAAGTGCGAGGGCGTATTGTGCTGTCACAAATTGTCCGAATTGCGGGAAGAACGCTATCATTTTAGTCTAACAATATGGCGGTTAGTCTCAAGCTCATAAAAATTGAGTACGTGAAGATCAAAGGTACCGTTATGTACTGTCGCTACTATTAAATGTCTATACTATGCTAATATCACGTATCGGTATATAAACACACACAAACATACCTAGAAGGGATATAAATCATCATTCCGTACGCGATCCGAGCGATGTCATAGCCGCCATGTTCTTAGCCGAAACATATGTACAGTGACATAACCTATTCAGACGCATATGTTTTGTAGTATGACAAGTTAGGTGATGATGAGTTGAGCACGTGAACCCATTAACTTTTTATAAAGATGTATTATATAACAAGTAAAATGAGTGCGAGGGCGTATTGTGCTGTCACAAATTGTCCGAATTGCGGGAAGAACGCTATTTTAATCCAACAATATGGCGGTTAGTCTCAAGCTCATAAAAATTGAGTACGTGAAGATCAAAGGTACCGCTATGTACTGTCGCTACTATTAAATGTCTATACTATGCTAATATCACGTATCGGTACATAAACACACACAAACATACATAGAAGGGATATAAATCATCATTCCGTACGCGATCCGAGCGACAGGGGGTGAATAAGAAATTGTCGCGTTTATATTTATTTATACCACGTTATTATAGCGACGTCGCGTTCATTTATTCGCGAAGCCACCCCTTCGAGCCCCTCCTGGTTTATATAGTGTCAGTAAAATGCGGAACGGCCATTTTCCTCGTACACGCAATTGCGGCGTAATACGTGCGTTACACACGCGTGAATGATGATCCTTAGACACGCGCGTGCAATAAATCAAGCCTCTTTTAATTCTGCAAAGCCACTCGCGCGCAATTAAAAACAAACCGGCCCTTCATTTCCGATTGACGTGTTACAATTCTCACGAGTTGTTATACGATAAGGAGAGGGCGATTATGTCTCTGAAATCACGCGAATGGAACTCCAGTGAATGGACATGCATGAAATATGTGTGTAATATGTAAACTTATTGTCTCGCTATGCTTGATGTATATTTATTTTTTTTATTAGTGAAAATATTTTTTGAAAATATTTAACAATATATTAATTTTTTTCCGTATTTTTTCTATATTATTTGTATTAGAAATATCAATATACTTCTATAATTTAAATATGTATAACATGCAAACTGATTGTCTCGTTATGTTTGATATATATCCCGGACGTATTTTTTTTATTTTCCCATATTTTTCTGAGAATATTTAACAAAGTATATTTATCTTTTTCCGCATTTTTATCTTACGTTTTCAGTTGTCTATATTAATAAAAATACTAATATATTACCTCTATAATTTAGATATGTCTAATATGCAAATTGATTGTCGTGCATTATGATTAATGTATTACAGAGATATATATTTTTTATTTTGATGGAGTATTTTTTTAGAATATTTAATAATATATTTAATTATATTTTGCGTATTTTTTATCTTCCGCGTTTCGTCTATATTATAAAAATGCTAATGTATCTCTCTAATCTCAATCGTAGTTTTTATTGTCAGTTGCGATTGTATGATTCAGCACTATTGTTTGTTCTTGAGCGTCATCAATTCTCGTTACGCATATCAGCGATTATCTCTACATATTTGCAAAATACTTTACTGCAAAATCATAGAGCGAGAAATCTTTGTAGACGTATAATACTTTGGAGATGATTTTTAAACATTAGACATAACTTGACGGTTAGATAATAGTTTTGATTTCAAGTAAACACAATTAAAGACAGTGCGATTAAAGATAATCCATATAAAGTAATGCTAAAAATACATTTGGAAAACAAATCAATTTAGTATGTCACTTTGCGTTTATCCGAATGAATTATCTTGTGTAATGTGTACTTAATTAGACACGAGAAAATTATCAATACACAAGTTATTGTAGTTTCGAAGAAGATGTGGATTTTCCGCAAAAAGCGGATGAATTTTCGCGCGCAAACATCGAGAATTCAATACATACGTACATATAATATACATATACATTAATATCGCCGATAATCCGCGTCTGCAAAATTCTAGTGCCATCGCCGACGATATTCATTACCTTAATACGCCGTATCAATTTGCCGAAATAATTTCATCTTCGCGGACGAATTATTAGTTATTATCGGCGCCGCGAAAAGTCGCATCGCGAACGATACATGCGTATCATCGTTTAATAATATAATTATGGACGTATACAGAGTGTCCCAAAATTACCGGACACTCTCTGTTAATACACTGAAAAAAATTATTAAATTAATATAATAAATATTTATTTCAATACTGTCAAATAAATTATTTATTTGAAACAAATAAATATTTATCTGTTTTGGAAAGGATTTTCTTATATTAAATAAAAATATTATTAGTTTCAAATAAATGATTATTCAAATTTTAATAAATTTTTTTTTAGTGTAGGGGAATTCCTCAGATTATTTGGAGACGATTTTTCCTCAACAAAAATGTCGAGGGAGGTCATCATTTCTTGCATGTTCTCAATTTTTGCCATCTTTGTAATTCAGTCTTAAATTAAAATTCTACTAAAGTAAACTCTACACTGAAAAAATATATTATAATAAAAAAATTATACTTGATTTAAAAAAGTAATTTATTTGTATTTTTCAAACCAGATATTCACTTGAAGGAAATAAAAATATGTCACTGATTTAAAAAAATATTTTTTAACTTTTAAAAGTGATTATATTTACTTTGGAAAAAACGCAGTAGTTTTAATCTAAAAAAACAAAAATGAAAATAAAAGAAACATTTTCTTAAATACAATTTTTTAAATTGCATCTACAATTTTTTCAGGTATACCTGAAATTAACGTTTGCGAAAAACCCTTTATTTTCAATCGCTTACAACTCGAAAATTATTGGTGTCTCGACAATTTTGCCGAGGAAAAGTCGCCTCCAAATAACCTGAGGAATTTCCCTATTAACAGAGGATGTCCGGTAATTTTGAGGCACCCTGTATAACGCGAAATGTTGTGTCCGCTTACAATTCACGCGTGCCGGAAACGAGTGTCGATGCTCTCTTTCGTTTGTCGCACGAGGGAGTGGATGGCCATTACCGAAATTAGCGTTAGCGATTCGATTACGCGCGGTTATTATTACGTCATTCGTCGAACGAGAGAGCGCGATTATACGCGTTTGATGCATTCGTCGAGATCAAAGGCGAATCGTCGATGTTTCCGCGATGTCTCTAATGGCAGATCAGGTGGAATTTTATGATGCTGACTCTCGTCGTCGAAAAACATTCGCATTACAGCGATATTGGATTTTCCTGGGAAAAATCAGTAGAGATATCCTCCCGATGGAATTTTGCGGCT